AGCGGTAGACTTTGACCCCATAACCACTACTAGTTACTATTACAGCAATGACAGGAAAATATTAATTATCCCAGGGGCCGACCCAGCTAAGTCACCTGATGTCACCTGAGTAGCTAGCTGAAGCAAACCTATGAGCGAGTACACTGATAAAGGCTCAGGAACGACTGAATGAAAATCTGTGTGGTCTTCAGGCAGCGCAAAGTGCATGACGGAAAGAATGAAACAACTTGAAACCTAAGTCGTTGCATTTCTCTGCATCTGAGGGGCACTGCCCCGGCAGATTTTCCCCAGCCTGTCATTTGGGCAAAGGCGCGGGTTGGCTGTTGCGGTAACCGGAATTTCTTCTGCCGAAGCGCTCACTGTCTGCGAGGTCCGCTAAAGTGCGAAGAGCTTCCACTTCCTCCTCCTCCACCTCTGAAGCTGGTGGCAGGCTGGCGTGAGATGTAGGCGTTGGAGCCTGACTGCAAGACAAGTTGATCATCCGCAGAGCTGAGTGAGTCGGAATCCTCGTCCGTGAGGCGAAGCAGCTGCGCACGCGGTGATCGTGTCTCTGGGCCTCTGAGCCTGGCAATCCAAGGAGAGCGCTCAATGCGCCGACCTGTACACAGGGCAGACTTCTGAATCCAAAAATGCTTCTATGTATCTACCGCTTCTTGCGGGTCGCATGCGCAGCGCCCGCCTTTTGGAGGCTCGTTGGCAGGGGGCAACGCTGCCTCTGGCAGAAAACCTTGCGGGCAAGGTAGCCATTTGATCTTCCACCTTCAAGGCTTCCCCGCCTTTGCCATTTTGCAATGCTTCAAGCCTTGAACTCATTGTTTCAATTTCTTAGCACACTTTTTGGATCTGAGTGTCCCACGCTTCCAGCAGGGCAGCAGGGCAGGTGGCCATTGTAAACGTTTCAGGCTTTGATACGCATTGCTGAGGCAGAACTTTGACTACCTGAGCACCAACGGTTCACCCTGAGTGAAGCCTGCTGTGCCCTACTCAACAACAGAATGGGTGCGTGACTCGCGGGCGGACCACTGAGACCTGCGGCAAAAGTCTGCAAAGATCATGATAGCAAAGCTGACCTTAGAGGCCATTGTTGTCAGCAGTAATAACAGCAAGAATTGCATCATAGCATAGTCACATTTGTTTGAGAAATCCAGAGTTGTATGCTACCAGTGAGAAACAGTACGAATAACCTCTGTGTGCATCTACTTCGTTCATGTTCTTCTTGCTGTCGTTCTTCTTCCGATGGGCTATGCAGTGCCGCCGGAGGAGCACTAGGGCTGAGCCCAAAGCGCTGCGCGAGTCCAATCAGTCAACTCCGACCGCTGAGGACCCAAGCATTATAATTACTATTCATACTATTATTAGCGATTATTACCTACTATTAATGATTATTGCTATTCTGAACTACTATTCTTGCTTGTACTATTGTGCTGGTACTGCTCATACAGCCACACCATAATGTTCGCCCTCGCCTTTGCTGTCGCTATTTCTTCCTTTCTTTATTTCTGCTTTGCCGTCTTTGTTGTGTTTCCTTCTTGCTTTCTTCAATTACGATGATTGCTGTGATTGCCACAACTGTTCTTGATTTCTTTCGGTCCTTATTTTCCCCGCTCTCCAACTCCACACCAAACTCTTCCGTCCTTCGTCCATGGCCTTCATCTATGGAAACAAGACCCCGCCCTTCCCCCCCCCCCCGAAC